GCTGTCTAAGTGAAAGTTACACTGCCGGTATATCCGCACCGTTGGTATAGAACAGTCGACGGGATGTGGCCTGCCGAATTAAGAGTTGGCTCATAGAGACTTAATGTTGAAAGACGATAAACTGTCCAAGTTGTACCCTCTGTGGATGAAACAGAATTCTGCCGGATGTGACCACAAATATGCTCGGTCTGCGCTGATTCTATTGTTACCTACGCGTTGTTAGCGGCATTTGACAAAGGGACCATTTAGTGGGTTGCCAAATACCAATCACATGTAACATCCAAGGCACGTTTGTCCACGGGGACTGTAAATTCACCTTTACCACGCGTCATTATTTTCCCTCGGTCTGCTCAGTACTATAAATATAAAGTTGTGGCTTGAGTAATGCCGTAGCTTCTGAATAGTGGGTCTTCTTCAATCGGACTAATACGAAGGCCGGATTTCATGAAGTAAAAGAAGAAGGACGAGGGTAATTATCGTGTACAGAACGCGACGTTGCAATATGATATAGTGGTTAACACAGGCGAAGCCAAATTGTGTATATACAGTTTCATGTAAGGTCTGGGGAACAGGTTCTTCAGTTGCCGCTGTGTGTATCTCCTTGGCGGATCAAAACTGCTTGGGGACACTACTGTGTGCTGCGTTATGACCAATGTAAGACACGCAGATGTTATTGGGGATGCGGACACGTAAGGCAATTTCCGTATCTAATTTGGTGGGTAAAAGTGACAAATAATATTGAAAGGAGCAATCCAAAGTTAAGGGCAGGGTAAATTGAAAAAAAGGACGAACTATTTGAATGTAGCCATTTTCACAATTTCCAGCATTCAAAGTATTTCTGCAAAGGAAAATGTAAGGTACAGCAGCTAGCGGCTGACATGGCCAAACATACATTGATTGTGAAGTTTGTGCATGATTGTTATCCTAGCATGAATATCCCAAGGGTATTTGCAGTAGGTCAGCGGAAATTAAACGAATAAGCTTAATGTACTTGGAAAAAAATAGGACATAGGAGATTAAGCTTTGGAGTAATTAT